TGGAGTCTTCCGCTGGGTCCTCGGCTTCCAGCCTGCAGATCAGGCATGAGAGAGGGGCGGTTATGGGCCACCCCTCACCCTACCCCCGCTGCCCAAGGTGCCATTCAGGGGCCAGTGCTGTAGGAAAAGCTCTTTCTGCTGAGGTGGTAGCTTAGGGCACCTGAGGCATTTGGAATTGATAGATACAGGAGAGGATTTAATGCAGGTGAGTCCTGCATCTTTGCAGCTGCCCCCTCTACCTGGATTACACCTCCCTTCCGCCGCCTATCTCTGGAGGTCCCATTCTTCCTTCTCCCCTCCATGGCTTGATCTGGACACCTCCTCCTCTGGGAGGCTATTTCAACCCTCTTAGCAGAAAAGAGTCACCCTGCTCTATGGAAGGTCCCTCCTCCTTGGTCTGCGTTGTTCACTCTGTTCTTTAAAGCTGCCAGCGCATTTAGCAAACGTTTACTGAGCTCTTGCCTGGAGCCCCGGTTCTAGGGTCCTGGGGATGCCAAGCCCCAGCCCTGGTCTTTGGGGATCTCACGGTCTTGTGGAGGAGACAGAGGGTTAAAGAAATACCTTTATACTTGGAAGTTACAGTGCAATCCTGGAGGGATGTGCAAGAGGGTCCTGGGGACACGGGTGAGACAAGGGAGCCATTAATTCTTCCTGTTTGGGGAGGGGTGAGTTCAGAAGTCTGGAAAAGGATTGAACTTCTGAGCTGGGACTTGGACGATGAGTAAGAGCTCACACGTGGACAGGGGGTTGTGGGGTGGGGGACATCCCAGGCAGAGGGCTCGCTCTGGCAGAGGAGCAGAGCACTGCCCTGTGCAAGGTCTGGGGCAGCTGGGGCTGCATCCAAAGTGAACAGAGATGCTCCTACGGCCGCCTGAGGCCCTGAGTTGAGGGGGCAGGGGTCGTCGTCTGTGCCTGGTGCACAGGTGGGGTCCAGAAAATACTTGTCGAATTAACAAGTGACCAAGCAGAAGCGGGAACTTGTCTGGAGGGCTCATGTGCCACATCTCTAAATGGAATGTTCTCATCCAGCCCTGGGAGGTGTAGTTATGACATCCTCATTTTATGAATAGGGAAACTGAGGCACAGAGCAGTTAAGTGACCTGCTCCAGCCCAGAAGCATCTCTGAGCCGGGAGGGGTTTCCAGGCGTCTGCTGTGCCCACTATCCCATCCTGTCTTCCTTGACCAGGTGGTGGGGGAGGCGGGGGGAGGCGGAGCCCAGCTCACCTTGGGTCGGGGCCTGGGCATGATGGGGTTGCTTGTTTCGGAGGTCAGAGGTGACTGTTAGGCCACCGGGGTCCGCGGGCCTTTGTTCCATCTCCTCCCAGCCCTCTCCCTCCACCCTAGTCCGCCTCACTGCCGCCTTCGCTGAGGAAACAGCGAAGGGGGCCCTTGTTCTCTCCGAGTTCTGAGTGCTCACAGAACAGCATCCAGCGTTGGCCTCACAGGGTGCTGTGAATTGGAAACGTGGCGCCTGCAGACCTCCTCTGGCCACGGCAGGCAGCCCTTTCATCGGGACACCTTGTGACTGGCTGAGAGGGACCCTTTCTGAGGAAGAGAACAGGTCCCTGGGAAAGTTCCCTTTTCTGCGAACAGAGTGTGGTCAGAAAAACGAAATGGCACAACTGAAGTGAGTTCACTTCCACCCGAGCCCCCATCCCCACTGCATCTGGGAAACGAAGCCTCTGAGGTGCCTCCCCTGGTCCCAGGGTTCCCTTCTGTGCAGCATCCTCCATCTGAGGGTCCCTCGTCTCTGACGCCCTCCCTCTCTGAGGGTCCCCTCTTCTGCAGTATCCCCCTCCTGAGGGTCCTGTCTTCTGTGGCCCCCGGTCTCTGCAGTGTCCCCTCCTCTGTGGCACTGCCTCTCCCTCCTGAGGGTCCCTCCTGTGTCATCCCCCCTCTGAGGGTCCCCTCCTCTGCAGGGTCCTGGGTTCTCTCCCACGTGCGCCCAGAGCCTGCTGAGTACCACTCCTGAGGATGCAGCCCCAGAGGGCCTTCTCCCCCTTCCCAGCCAGTGGGGAGAGACTGCCGGCTCCTTGGGGTAGACCCCCTCAGGATGACCAAGGCTTGTCTGGTCCCTGGAAGAAAGGCGGTGCTGGAGGGCCATTTATTTATTTATTTATTTATTTATTTGCGGTACGCGGGCCTCTCACTGTTGTGGCCTCTCCCGCTGCGGAGCCCAGGCTCCGGACACACAGGCTCAGCGGCCATGGCTCACGGGCCCAGCCGCTCCGCGGCATGTGGGATCTTCCCAGACCGGGGCACGAACCCATGTCCCCTGCATCGGCAGGCAGACTCTCAACCACTGCACCACCGGGGAAGCCCTAGAGGGCCTTTTAGAGCCAATGACAGCACTGCTTGTGTCCCAGCAAGGATGCTGCAGCGATGCTGAGTGGAGACCATCCAGGCCTGATGTGTGTCCTGATTGCTGTTCTTGTGAAAGGGTTTCACTGGCACAAAAACGCTTGGAAAATACACAAAGGAAGGTGGCCGGCTTCCAAAACTCAACTGTTTACCTTCAGTGGGGCGGCCGGGAACATGGGGAGCTTATTTTCCAAACAGCCCACGGTTGTCAGGTCTACAGGCCTTGGGTGATGCCAGGCGAGCATGAGCTGAGGGCATTTCCTGCCCACCTCCTTCCCCAAACGCACTGGGACCCCAGGTTCCTCTCAGGGGCTGACTCTGTCCCCTCTTGCTGCATGGGATATGTTCTCTCTGGGATGGGGTTTCTGAGGCCTGGGGTGCCCTGCCCAGCATCACCATGTGACCCAGTTCTCTTCCATCCGTGGCTGTCTTGGTCTGAAAATATTGGCCTCTTGTTCTGGTGCCTGTCACAGTGGAGCCGCGGTTACAACACAGATGGGCTTGTGTCTGTGGCACCTCTGAGGATGAGCTGTTCTCTGCCCGTCCTCCCACTTCCCACCGGCTGCTCTGCCTTCCTTCCAATTCTGATTTATTCTAGGAAGTGGAGTTGGATGGGAATGTAGTCATGAATCCGCGGGCAGAACCGGAAAGGTCCTTGGAGTTTCCTGTTTTTTATCCAAGGGGAAACTGAGGCCCAGGGATGCTGCTAGGCTTTTTGCACAGGCCCCAGGACACCTAGCAGCTTGGCTGCGGGCTGAGCCCATTGGCGTCACTGTGTGTCCAGGCCCCAGCTGGGCCGCCTCCCACCCGCGAGACCTTGCCCAGTCATTTATCCTCCTGGGCTCTAGGTGTCCTGGTCTGTGAAGGGGGACCATCACCCGCAGCTCCTGGCTGTGCTGTGAGGACAAATGCCGTTTCCCTTCCCCATCCAGGAGTCCCAGAAGATGGGCAGCTTCTCAGCTGGTCTCATTTTTGCTGTTTTTTACACAGGCTGGTCACCACGGGGAAGGATCGGTGTTCTTCAGTATTTTCTTTTGGTGAAGTCCACGGTTTTTTTTTTTTTTTTTTTCAAATAGATAAAATCCCTTAACATCTTTCCTGGCAGACAATAGAAAAGGGGAGTTAAGGATATCAGCAGAAAAGAGCTGGCACATTCCGAAGCCTTAACGGAAAAAGAGTTTAAATAAGGGAGGATAGCAAGGTGTGGGCAGGGGCAAAGGAGCCAGCAGGAGGTGGTGAGGCACCCCGAGAATATAGGGCTGTCACCACCCCAGGCCTCAGGGGACTAGGGGAAGGAAGAGCTTAGAGACGGTGGTCTCGGGAGAGGGGCCGCCCTGCGCAGTGGGGACGGTGGGAGCAAACACCCAGACTCCTCTCTCATCTTCTGCTGGTGCCTCCAAATGGCCGGACTCGGCCAGCAGCCAGGGGACAAGGCAGCCGGGTGGTCGTGGCTGTAGAGCACAGCCTCCCGTGGCACAGGGCAGGCACGGGGCGTGGGACAGGTGCTGAATGACAGGCCCGGCTTCAGCTCTGCCTCTGCCCTCTCACCGTGAGGTCCCAGGCAGGTCTCAGAAGTCTGTGTTTGTGGGATTCCTTCTCACTGTGTGGTTTGAAAATGAAAAGAAACGATCGGACATACGTTTTTAGCACAGTGCCTGCCTAGAGCTGTCACCGTGATTTCTTTATGAATGACTTTGAAACAAACAGCCAGGAATCCCGGAGGGAGGCCCCCCTGGGGGTGGGGCTGAGGGCAGGGATGGGGCTGGAGGCCGGCTCCGGCCTCTGCTGAGGCCACCCAGGGGGTCAGCCAGGTGCCGGGCTGGCGCCCGTCCCCTCCAAGGGAGCGGGCCATGCAGCTGGTGGCGGCCGCGTGCCGGGAGGCAGACATCTGGCCAGTCAGGAAGCTCGGTGTCAGGCGGCCCCGGCTGTTGGCAGGTGCTCCTGTCTTGGGGGTCAGGTGATGCCGACTGTCTGTCAGCCAGCAGCTCTGGCTCCCCCAGGACCCCATCTTCCTAACCCCATGCTCTTGAAAAAATAAACACGCCCCCCCCAGTGGAGCCGTGCCTCAGGGACCCCAGGCAACCCGGTGCCCCTCACTTTGTCATCACAGGCCCTGATCTCAGTGTGAAGTGCCAGCTTCTGGTCTCTCAAAGCAGCAGCTCTTAGATTCGCGCAGATCACCACTTTGCCGAGACTGTGTGTAGTTTTGTGGAGAGAGTGTCCGCTTGCATCTCAGTTCAGGCCTGGCCGTGTGACTTCAGTCGTTGGACTTGACCTCCCTGAACCCTGGTGTCCCCACCTGAGAAACCCGGGTGGTAGGGCAGCTGCAGTGTGGCCAGTAAATGCTTTCACAGAAAGCATTGATCCACAGAAACTTCGTCACCCTGATTCCATGTGTGTATTTTCTGTGTCCCGGGCCGCTTGGGGCTCAGGGACAGAAGTCTAAACACAGGGCCTGCCCCGGAAGGGCTCCACGTCCTCAGCGAGTTCATCCCATTCGTCCTGTCCTGTCCCACGAGTGCCAGCCCTCCTCCTGCCCCGTCTCTGTGCCGCAGGGACATGCAGAGGAGACGGGATAGACGGGGCAGCGGGCTCAGAAGCTGAAGTTGTTGTTTTTCTCTGTGTCTCCCGCTTGCAGCTGAACCTTAGCCGGCCAATCGAGGAGCAGGGCCCCCTGGACGTCATCATCCACAAACTGACCGATGTCATCCTCGAAGCCGACCAGAACGACAGCCAGTCCCTGGAGCTGGTGCACAGGTTCCAGGTGCGTGGAGGGGTGAGGCGGAAGGCCGGGAGTGGTTCCGTGCATTTCTAAAGCTGTGGAGCCGTCTTGCCGTGTACTGTGTACACACGGCTCTGCCACTGCCAAGAAGACATGGGCTTGTGGTCGGGCACTTCCCTGCCGGGGCCTCCGCCTCGTCGGAGGCGAGACGGGATTGAACCAGGGCACGGTTGGAACCCCCTCTGCCCTCTACGCTTAGAGACCTGATTTACCGATCTGAGCACTGCAGAGTCCGCACGTGCCTTTGTGTCCTCAGCGACACACAGCCGCAGCCACAGGTGTTGAGTTGGCACAGGGGCGGAACCCTCTTGCCACTCCTGGAGAAAGGGACCCCCAGGGGCCTTTGAACTGGAGCGGCTGCCCTTGGCCCCTGAGTCCTGCCTTGGTGGAGAACCCCTCTCCGAGCTCACGGCTTTGACCCTGAGTGCCCATCTCTGAGCTGGGACCAAGTCTTCTTGGCTTTTCCCTTCTCCCTTCCCTGTTTCCCCAGTAGCCTGGGTCCTGACCCCACGGTAACCCGCCCGCCACCTTGGGGGGTGCTGCCATTGCCGCCGCTGACTTGCCCTGTGTTTTCTGTGTTGTGGACAAGAGTGTGATTCATTCCTCAGGAAAGCGGCTCAGGGGTCATAAAAAACAAGGTCATGTTATCAGTGAAAATGCAGCCGGGAGAGAGGGCCTCCCTGTGGGAGGGATGCTCGAGCCCGTGCTTTGCAGTGTGTGATAACCGGAGGCTTCACGTCCTGTCTTTCTTTATCAGGACAAAGGGGACTCTCATCGCCACAGAGTAGCCCTCCTGCTGACAGCATTTTCTTTCCCCCATGTGTCCAGGGTCGGTGGCCTCAGCCTCCCTCACTTCCCTGTGGCTCTCGCCCCCTTCTTGACCGACTCTGGCAGATTCCCGCTTCCCGTGAGCCCTGGTGGCCCGTTTGTGGCCCTGCTGGTGGCCCGTCCCACTCCCCCACGCAAGTGGGGAGGTGCGCTGTCCACATGTGGTGCCCTGCAGGGCCTTTGCCTGGCCAGCAACCTAAGTCTCTTCCGCTTCCATGGGGCTGGGGCGCCGTGGGGAAAGGCGTGTTTGGGCTCCTCTGTGAGCGCGCCAAGCCTCAGTTTTCTTATTTGTAAAGTGGTGTTAGTACCAGGAAAACCTCACACCGTGTTGGGAAGAGTAAACAACACGGTGTGTGTGAAGTGCTTCACCCGGCGCTCAGGCCCCAGCCAGTGCTTGGTTGGTGGTTCATACCAGTGTGATCACGTGACCCCCTCGAGCCATAGTTTCCTCTTCTGTAAAATGGGGTTGCTGCTAGGTCCTGCTTCTTAAGGTGGGCAGGTTGCTGTGAGAAGTAAATGTCTTTTGATGTAGAAGTGTCTAATGTTTGCTGAGTTCTTACAGCTGCTCCCACCACTACTGCCTGTGTCATTACTTTCTTAGATAAAGGACTGGGAGTTAGGGAGCAACCACGCCTGGGGGGCCTCCCATCCCCCGCTCCCCGCAAGCACGCCCACAGCCCACGGCGCAGGGCCGGTGGTGGCTGAGCACTAAAGGGGAACTTGGTCCCCTGTGTTCCTGTTCTTGTGCAGAGAAGGTTGGAGAGCATGTCAGGCGGGACGTGGGGACGTGCAGCTTCAAGGGTTTCAGCCACCGGCTGCGTTTCCCAGGGAGGTCTCGGCTGGGTCCCAGGAGTCTGTCCCACCCAGGGCACACACAGCAGCCGGCCCTCAGATGCCTGAGGTGACCTCAGGATAACCTTCCAGCCTCAGTATCTCCGGGATAAATTTTCACTGCCATCTGTGTTGAGCATGAAGCGGATATCTGCTAAGGCCGGGACGTTTCCTCTTTTGCGAAGAGCACGATCCTTTGGGGAGGAGGGTGACGGGCTGCACTTTGCACAGGCCCCGAGAAGAGAGAAGGGCAGGGGCCGGTGGAGAGAGGCACTGAGAGGTGCCAGGTGAGGCCTGCTCAGCAGCACGCAGGCCATCCTCCCGCCATGGGGCCCCGGGCTGTAGGCGCTGACCTGGTCTTCCCACCCTGCGCGAGATACGAGATTCAAGTTCAGAGCCAGGCCATAGACTGACACTTGACCTTGACCGTGCCGTTGTTTTCAGCTTCCTGTTTTAATGTTTATTCTCGGGACATGAACAGGGAGGCACGGGCTTAGGTGCAGGGAGGGGCCCAGGGTCAGGAGAGGCAGAGGGACGTTCAGATTTCAGAGACCGGGAAGCAGGGCCGCCCCGGGCTTGGGTTTGCAAAGCTGGCCTTTCTGCATTTTGTTGTAAGAAAACGGAGAAAGGTGGTTTGCCCCAGAAGGGGCTCAGCTCGAAGGGCCTTCACCAAAGGCGATACTCGGGTCCCTGGGGAAGTGGCTTGGGGCTGTGTGGGTCAAGATAGATGAGTTTCTGAGATGTTTCTGACAGCCCTAGAGCATTCCGCCCATGGGATGCTTCCATTAAACCTCCAGGACCCAGGGATGGACAGGAATTCTCAGAGCTGAGAGGTTATGCTTTTTTTCTGGTTGCCCTTGTGGACAGGTTGGGGGTTGTGTGTCTGGAGCTTATGCAGATCACTAAAGCTGGTTGCCATAGAAATCAACTCCCAAGCTGCCACCTCCCGCTGCCCCCCCCACCGAAAGGAATATTGGCCTCAAGAGGGCTTGGCGTGGAGAATGATCAGGATGATTCAGTTGTTTTTCTGCGCCAAGGTTCTCGTGGAGCCGACAGGCTGGTGCCGCCGAGGCTCTGCCCGAGATTCAGTTATCAGGGAACAGAGCTGGACAGAGGTCCCCTGGGGTGGTGGGAGGGTTTCCTGGCCTCTAGAGCTGCCTCTTCAGGGGAGCGACCAGAACCTCCTCACTGTGGCATCCAGGGCCAGATGTCAGGTGTGGCCCGGGGGCTGAGGGGGGTGGCCCTTCTGCTGCTGCCCCAGAATTGTTAGAAGTGTTATGGTGACTGTATTCCATGAGTCAGGTGGTGCCGTCTAGGTGGATCTTCCTGGGGTTTCCCTGAATGAGCTCGGAAGGAGGAGGTTTGAGTCTAAACTGTCACCTCTTCTCCCCATCTTCGTTAGCTGGAAGGATGTTGTGTCCCCCAAATGGCCCCTGGACCCCCTGTGTGACCACAGGGACAGCTTCCTCTGAAGTGGCACACTGCTTGCTGAGCACCGTCCACAGGAGCCCCCAGCCCGGAGGGGAGGCCTCGGGAAACCGGGAACTGCACTCGCAGACCCCAGGGTGATGCACTAGGAGACGCGCAGACCTGATCCCCGCTCTTC